CACCAAGTTGCAGGCGTTTCTCACTACACATCAAGTTACAGTAACTATTTCGGGGTTCACTCTGTACTGGAGGGGGCACCCAAGATATAAATTTGCACCATATGCACTGGGCACCCCTGCTCAAAGCAGTCCCAATGCATAAACCAGGTAAATTTGCTTCATGCTGCTTTTTTGTGTGTGCTGAAAAAAAAAAAAAAGTAGTATAGGATGCATTTTTACACACTGCAAAGATATAAAGGGTAAAAATTGTGATACGTTGTAGCAGCGTATTACACCATTCCTACACAGTGCACACCAGAAGGCACATATTACATGGATCAGAACTCGAACCCACTGGTGTGAAAAGACCCTATAGGTATGTGCAGGCATTGCATGGGCAGGCAGTGTACTGCCATAGCCTGTTCATTTCATTAGCGATAATGGCACGTTTACTTTAAAAGTTATACCAAAGGATGTTTTAAAAAAAAAAAAAAAAAAAAAAAAAAGGAAAACAAATATTATACTTACCTGCTCTGGGCAATGATACTGCACAGAGCAGTCCCTTACCTCCTTTTCTGGGGTCCCCCAACAGTGCTCTCCGCTGCTCCTCTTCTGAGCATACTACCATAGTAAACGTGTGTGTCATGAAGGCATATGAGCGGATATGCTCCTGATGTGTGCATCCATAGACACACAAAACGCAGCTTTAGTAATGGTGTAGATAGAGACTATTGTTAACAGCTACACTGCACTACTTTCAGTCAGTCTAGTGCTGACAGAAGAACGGTAGAACACAATCACTAAACCCACACATGGGCACAGAGGTCTCATACAGCATGTACATTGTTTACATGTCTGCAGCAATGTGATTCAGCAGGCAAGTAGCCTGAGTCAATGGCTGTATGGACCCAACATATGCAAGTGTGACAGGATGCAGGGATGATGCATGCCCTGGATACAGACAGTGTGCATTCTGTGTCATGCATTTGTACCTGCATGCCTGTCAGATTCAGACGTGAGGGCAAGTCTGTACAGTCGCTGTGTCCCCATTGACCAACATGAGCTACCTGCACACAGCACCAGACACATAAAATGGCTCTTACACACTTGTATAGACCTCTCAACTCGTGTGAAGTAGCCGACAGACCATGTATGGGGTCTATTTATTAATGTTTTCACCAATTATTCACCCATTTTCTAATTTAAACTTGTGGGGAAAAAAAAAAAAAAGGGTACAAATT